GATTGGCCCAAGCATTTGACGCATACGCAACAAATTTGATGTTTCACCACTGCCATGACTGGTACTGACTGAGAGATGATGTGCAGAATAAGCTGCACCTAGACTACCACGTCTTGCCAATCTGGTGTCCTCTGATAGTTGTCGATTTAACTTGAAATTGCGAGGAAGTGAAAATACAAAGTCGCTGCCAGGTGGTTTGATTGGATTAATTGCTGACAGTGGTGCTTGCTGTTGTTGCTGGTGGTCATCATAATCACTCTGGAATCAAAAATAATATTTGTGTAAATTTTCCATCATATAAATTATAACTTTGCAGACTTAGATGATATATTCTTGTAATCAATCTATTGCTCATAGCAATGCGGCCTCAATGTCATTATGACGCATCAATCACATTTTTTTTTTCATTTTTCATGATTCAACTACTTATGCTCATTCTTGTTTGCGTCATTGACTCGATAAAAATAACTCACTTTAATTATGAAATTTGATACAAAAAAATCAACTAGGGACTACAACATATTTGTTTGTGTCTTCAGAAGTACCCGTAATCATGTGATCTGATTGTGTGTTTTTTTCTTGAAGACCTCTCTGCCCAATCAACAAGCTGCCATACCCAACTCGATTTCTAGAGGATTTTATTTTAACTAAAGATACATACAAAATTCTTCCTGTTAGAAGGAACACTGGTGCACAGATGATCAATGTAAACAATTTTGTTTGTGTGGCTGTCATCTTGAAGAGTCCTAGAGGACACTCATTTCAGCGGATATTCGATAGTCACTCTGACTGAAAGCATAAAGCTGCACCATGGCGTGACGAATCCCATGTGGTATACGCAACACACGTCTAATTTGAAATGTGCGATGCACAATGATTGCTGTGTTTTAATGTATTCCCATGTAGCAAATAATAATGATCAACGAGTATCACAAAATCTATTTTTATACTCTCCATAATGTAATAATCATAAAGCCAGAAATAAGAAATAAAGTCATGTATATCCAGTACTACGGTTTTCATATTTTGGGTTTCTATATTTTACGGATGAAGAAGTATGATCACTCTTCCTCTTTGAAATATATTATTATTTGTTGTTATGATGTTATCAGGAGAATACCGCAACAAATCAGATGAAGGCGGAATGGAAAGCATATCCACTGATGTATAGCACAAGTTGATGCAACCCTGTACCGCCTGAGTACATACTTTATTGTAATAACCTTATGACGTAGTTTACCCAATATAAGAAGAAATTTATAATAATATAATTTTTATCTTTAACAGAACAACATGATTATATGGTTCAGTGAAAAATGATCAAATGATGAGAAAAATAAAAAAATGTTCAGCCGAACTAACCGTGTCTATGACCACTACATCTTTTATATAGCATACATATACATATACAAATTCTGAATTCAAAAACTGCTAGCAGAAATGGGGGGGGGGTCTAAGTGGATTGAGAAACAAGCCAAAATGCTTTAAATTGGCTAAATAATATGTAAATTCAGTCATTAATATGCAAGTATTCCAAGTAAAAACTAATCAGGTAAGCACATTATCCCAGAGCATCTATCTAGTTGCATTGAAACCAGTTAGGTACATGTAGTTCCCAAGAAATTGGTGAGAAGGCTTAAAATTTGTTACTTAATAATTATTCAAATTAGGTCATTAGGTTAGAACAGCAGACCATATTCTCAGCCAACTGACATTTTAAAGCCAGATTTTTACTCATATCTTCAGAATTGAACTTGATCAAGATTTTTTACTGGTTATTAATCTAGCATTACAATATAATGAGACACTAAATGAGAAAGACTTGAAATGCCATACTGACAACACAATGGGTATTTTAACCCCTCCCCCTATACCTTATGACCTTAAATTCATCACAAGCATGGTATACACTCTGTGAGCAGCCTGGAAAATCAGTTTTAAACAAAAACAAGCCATGCATGGCACAGTCACCGTTAGTTATCAAATTTAAGATATA